TGTATGCCCGTGTCGTGTCGTGCAGGCCTACACACCTGACTACGGTGTCTTGCCAATCAACATTACCAAAACAAACCCAACATTTACCATTCCAAAAAAAAGTTTAACACAAGGAGAAACATACCCATTCCTTTGCAAACCAACCATGTTCGACAGAGATTGGTAAAAAACGCACGTGTGTGTATTTTATTTCTAGCAATTGTTGTATTTATTTGTTTGCAAGACATACGCTACTTAGTCCGTGCCGCAGTACTGGCGGATGAGGGCGTCGACGTTGGGCAGATGAGGTCTGCCGAACGTGCCGTCCCCTGCCGTTCTCAGGGCAAGGCCGTTCCGCACCCTCATGATGGCGTCAAACGCCACCGGTAGCTGGTGCAAGTGACGGGGAAAGGACAGCGGGGAAACCGGGGAAGTACTCGCGGTCATAAAAAAAAACACATCATGTACAACATACACAACTGTACAGGGGAGGGACGAGCGGTCATTTAAAAAACAAAACAACAGAACATATCATATGTAGTTTTAACATACTATCGTAGTCTACATTAAAATACTCCGGAGTGTAAAAGAGTACAAGTAGCCTTTGCGAAAACAAAATGAAGGCATAGGGCAAGCGGCAAGAGGGCAGCGGATCAATCGAAACAGCATTTAGGTGGCTTTCCAGCATCCCATCTCCCTCGAGCAGAAACGTCGCGCACGTCAGGTGGACCCCGAGATCTGCAGCGAGCGCGAACTCCAGCTGCAGCCAGAACTCTTGGTGGTAGCCGTCCTGGCCCAGCCTTGCAAGTTCCTCCCGACAGAACGCGGCCTTGGCAGATCTGGTCTCGTCGCTCGAGCAGAACCTGTCGATGAAGTGCTTCGCGCGTGTTGCCAGTCTGTCACCAACTTGTCGTTCCGCTCAAAGCTCGAAGCCCACCGGTGGGAAGGGGCCTTCGGCGGCAACGTGCCGGTTGCAGCCCGCCACTGCTCCGACGCGTTGTGGCTGAGGGAAAGCACCGTCTGCAGTGCGCCGGCGAACTTGTCGATCTGAGTGCTTTCGATTTGGTCGCCTGCGTTGTTGAAGAGG